TTGCTAGGGACTTGCCCGGCACTTGCTCTCTACCTCTATTTGTTATCTTTCTTCTATCATTGACAGTCCCTCTAGGTTGTGGGCTGCTTGCCTGTGTTCCTGAGAAGCATCTACGGTACCAGTCTATAGAGTGTGTTTTCTTTAGTGAATTACCGGTATGTTTACCGGTAATAAACTTGCACTGTTTTATGTATATGTTTGATTACATACAGCCTTGTGACAGTTTTCCTGCATGTCATAAGCATTTGAATATAAATTAAAATGTTAAAATCAAATCTGATATTGTTTTACCTTTTATTTGGTGTGTGGAAGGTGTGCGGAAGAGGGGGTAGTCTTATACGGCGAGTATATAACAAACTTTGTATTTTGAGTGGAAATGTTAGGGGGTCGTCTTATACGCCGGCAAATACGGTATTGTCTTGGATATATCATGACAGAAATGCATTTAAAGCCAATAAATTCTACTAGCTATAATTCTAAAACTAGCAAAAATTCCATACACAGACACTATAATTTCCTTCTCTTGCAAATATAAACTCTCACTTTTCTCATCTAAAACATACACTTTCCCACACAACTTTTCTGAACAAGTCCCTGCAACATCCACGTTTTAATCCTCTGAGAACACCTCATTCTTACTTAACACATTATGCCAGCACGTCCAACTGCCAATTCTAAGAAGAGAGCTCCCAATGCTGGTCCAGACAGCTGTGATTTGGAATATTTTCCCAACAGGACAATTAGTGCATGTATGTATAAATACAAGGAACAAGAAAGGACCTTTAGAACACAGATGTTATATGTAGAAAATACTTATATAAAATATTTAAGGACTTCCCTTGGTTTGAGATTATTCTTAGTACATTTTTAAACATCTTTTCATGTTTTTATTTATTTCAGAGAGAGGAAGCGAGAGGGAAAGATAGAAACATCAATAGAGACACAATTATCAATTGGCTGCCTCCTGCACACTCCCTACTAGGGATCAAGCCTGCAACCTGGGCATATGCAATGACCAGGAACTGAACTGAGACCTCCTGGTTCATGGGTCAAGGATCAACCACTGAGCCACACCCGCCGGGTGTCCTTCCTACACTTCTGAAGTCAAGATGTCTATTCATCAATGAAATGCTAATGGTGAATTGTACCTCTTGTGTTTTAAAGGTCCTTTTTGGCAACACTAAAACCTCATGTTACTCTAAGTTATACTATTTGTGAAATCCAAGGATGGTAACTACTGTTTCAGAGGATGTCAATAAAAGCTCCTCCAGGAACAGAGCAGTACATAAGGCAGATAAGGTCAGGACATTCATGAGGCTTCCATTCTAGTGGGAGCTAGACAGGAATTAAATATTTAGGAGAGGATCACAATGAGTACAAAAGTCCCGAGATGGGGATAAACCTTCAAGAAATAGCAAGTAGTCGCGTGAAGCTTAGGTGGAGCAAGTGGTACGGATACTATCTGCTAGGTGGATAAGACAGATCTGCCCCTTGCAACCTGTTCTAATTAATGGGTCCTTATTTTGAATATTTTGTAAATTCCTAAATGAGAAGCACCCACATACATAATTTAGTATAAAAACATCTAGAAAGCCAAATATAAAATATTAGGGTACTGCCTGACTTCATGCTTATCTAGAGGCAAATTAAAATATCTGCATGAGAATATCAAACTGGAGCTCTGGATAATCTATGGATTCTCTTTGGCTCCAAATATACACAGATGCCTACTTTAAGTTATTTTATAGAATTCTATTTTACACATCAATGATCGACAAAAGGAATAAAAATATCAACATCAAACATACCTTAGGTGAGATGATACTCTCCACACTGCTCTCTAAATTACACTCAAACACATGGGCTTTGGTTAGCTTCTTATCCCAATGGGCCGCTAGCCAAATTTTGGCCAGCGGCCCTCTTTTACTGAGGACAAAGTGTGCGTAGAACATTGTTCTGGTTGACTATGAAACAGGAGAAAATCTGAAAAGGAAAAAAAGTTAATATAAATACCACTGAAGAATTGAAATATTTATCACGACATATAACAAGTCTAAAAATAAAAGTTCCTTTTTTTTTAGTATGAGAACTATTAAAGGATTGAATTTAGGATGCATCAAACACACACACACACACACACACACAAATACAACCTATTTCTTTATTTTAAGAGGGTAGAAAAAGACCCCAAAATATTAAAAGCTGAAGGGAAAGGGAAAAAAGAGTCAAATTACACTCATGCCCTGCGGTCATCTTAAAAGTGCTGCTTTCTTTTAAAGTGAAACTATCATCAGAAAACTGTCATTTCTGAAGTTCCTGCAAGTGTTAACTCCATTCCTATCCTGATTATTGCTGTGGAGAGAGTCTGCTTCTGACCAGAAACTGGATAATATATTCTTCATGGCAAGAAAAGAATGTCCAAGGAGAAAAACACTCAGGCACAAATATTAATCAATGTGGAAATTTTCATTGTTAACCCCATTAGAAACTGAGATTCTCAGCTTTATACAATAATTAGTATCTCATGTACTATGCATTTTATATTCCACCAAGCAAAGACAAATAGGTTGGCCCTCTGGTAAGTAATTCAGAACAGCTGAAGCTTAAAAAGGTAAAGTATTATAGCTACAGTTTTCTAAACTTTAAAAATACTTGTCCACTCATAATTTAAAAACTAGATTCAGGACAATGATACAGTGTAACACTTATGACTGAAATAGTCTTAGCAGAAATACAAGTATGTTATTCACATTTCTTTCTTTCAGCAAGCTAATGTATTAATACAGAAGAGAAAAAGGCAGCCTGAATATTCCAGCTTGATATATATCAACTGTGTAAATCGGTATTTCCCTTATATTATTTATTTTCCCCTTTTCACTGATTTATAAAAGTCTATTTGCCAAGTGAATTTCTATCTTTTTCTAAAATGTCCACAAGTAGAACAAGAAGCATTAAGTGATACTTTTTCAGAAATAAACTCAAGCACAATCACAACACATGAAAAGTGCTTCTTAAACCAGGACACTGATATTAGTACAACGTGTGCAATCTTCTTTGCCACATGTGTGGATTTGTGAAACCATCCCCTAAGCACAAGATACAGAGTTATTTCATCATCACAGAGCTCTCTCCCTGACTCTATCCCTTGCCACCCCACTCCTTGCTTGGTACCATTCCTAAGCCCCGACAACTACCATTCTCTTTTTCATCTCTAATTTTGTCATTTTGAAAATGTTGCAGAAATTGTATTGTATAGTACGTGACTTTTTGAATGGCTTTTAGTAGTATGTTCCTTCTTATTGCTGAGTAGCATTCCACGGGATGGATATACAACTTACTTAGCAATTCATCTCTTGAAGGACATTTTGGTTGTCTCCAGTTTTCAGCTATTGCAAATAAAACTGCTATAAATATTTGTGTATATAGACCCTTTGTGAGCATAAGTTTTCATTCCTCTGAGACAAATGTCCTGAAGTGTGATTTCTGTATAACATGGGTAAGTGTACGTCTATTTCTTTTTAAAGAAACTTCAATACAACGCCTAGCAAAATTTTACTGAGATTTTTGTTATTGGTACTGGTAAGAATTTTTTCTAAAATTATACGGGAAGGCAAAGTTACTAGAATAGCTAAAACTATTTTGAAAAAGAAGTATACCCAATTTCAAGACTTACTATAAATTAAAAAAACAAACTATAGGGAAAACCTTCAGTACCTAAAACTTGGTTAAGATTTTTTAGATATGACACCAAAAACATATCTCATGAGAAAAAAAATCTGGTAAACCGTCTTTCATCAAATAAAAAATTTTGCTCTACAAAGGAGCTCACTGAGGATGCAAAAACAAGATATAGGGAGAAAAAAGTATTTGCAAACCCCAATAAGGCAGGGACCAGGATCTAGAATATATAAAAACCTCTCAAAACCAGACTTAAAAAAAATCTACTTAGAAAATGAACAAGAGAAGTTTCACAGAAGAGAATATACTGACGGCAAATAACAAGAAAAGATGCTCAACACCAATATTAATTAGATTTCACTGCACACCTATTAAAAGAGCAAAAATAAAAATTAATGTTAACACGTGCTGATGAGGATACAGAGAAGAAGTACCTCTTATTCATGCTAGTGTAATGTATAATTTCTTTTGAATTAGCTTATAAAAGATCCAGAGTAAGTTAACTCTAATTTTCATGTTTTTAAAAAGAGACTAAACTTTAAAATTTTGCTTACTGTATTTCAATTAAAAATTGCACCCATTCTTTCCAATGGTTTACAGAAAATACACATTAGTTAAAAGCCTCACAGGCAAGTGATTTCATGCCTGTCAACAATGTTTGGGAGGGTGGAGGTGCAAGAGTAATTTGCAGTCAGGTTTGCCTCATCTCCATTTTCCATCATAGCAAAGGGTTCTAAAATTCTCTTTTGAACAGATGCTCTCAGGAGATCATTAATTCACACTTGGAAAATTTTCTCAAAAAAACAAAACAATACAGTTTTCATCAATTGCCTATATTGTGAACTCTATTTCAAATGTAGTTAAGAAAAGACCTAAGGAATAAGAATTCAGATCACTCTAAGGTAGAAGCACTAATAATACCTCAAGTGTATGTTATATCCCACTTAGCAATTTGTCATAATCAAAGACAGCTCCCTATGTTGCAAATCAATGCTTCTACTTGAAGCCTTAAAGTTTGTTAGCACAAAAATTAAGTCCCCTGTACAGCATTTTGTAGCAATCCAATATGGCAGTGTGTTCTTAGAAATAGTCACTATCATACAAGTCCCAAATTTCACTACACAAGACAGTTGTACTCAAAATAAAAACTCTAATATTTAGCTCCTAGAATACTGCCTGCCGAATGACAACTACTAAATATGTGCTTAATGAATAAGGAAATGAGATACACCAAGTGATCTAATAGTTGACATATGTAAATAATTCTGGATATTTCAGAAATTAAAACTACTGGCACTTCTCAACAGGTGTCAGTAGTTCATGGCCAGCACTTCAGCTGCTAGTCAGAGTGCCATGCCTAAAATATCCCAGCTATGCAGAGGCAGAGATTCCTAAATAGATGCTTTCTTGTCATGGGATTTTTTTTGGGGGGGGGGGGGGGCAGGGGGTGAGGGAGTAACTAAAGCAGAGTGCTGCTAAAGTTATTTGGGGAAACAATTAGTAAGAGAAAAGCACCCTAATAACTAAAGGATGCCTGAGGTATGTGGTGGATCAACTATTGGCTTATATCTAAAAAAGGAGAAAGTGTAATCATTGTTGCCTTTTAAACCATTTTCCTCCCTTAATAATACCAAACTTTAGCCAACCTTAAAACAAAAAAGTTGATTAATCTCCGCAGGTTTTGAAGCTGTAAGAGTCGAAATTTTGCTAATCCTTTACAAAAGATCTTAGCAGAAAGCCAACATCCCAGAGCAAAGTTCAGAAACTTATTTCTCAAATTCTTTCCAAAGCAGCAAATGACTTTTTTCAATTGATCCTAAAAAATGAATTTAAGTCTGGTGTGAAATGGCAAAAAGATAGTTTAGAACACATTCAGGAATGCAAAAACCCCCAGCATTTTCTTTAAGATCTTTTCAAAAAGCCAAAATCAAATTACAGGTCATGTATCTACAATGACATTATAATATTTCATTCATCTGTTAGAAGCAAGGCAGGGCGGTGATTGTATAAATTTGTATGACCTCTCTGAAGGGCAATTTGGCAACATCTTATGAAAATTTCAAACATTCATACTTTCTATTCAGAAACTGTACTGCCAGTAATAGTGCCAAAGATATACGTACATAGAGATGTATAACAATAATGAATTTTTCAAATTTTACTAAAGCTCTAAGTATTTTATGTATATATCCTCTTGACAACAACCCTATAAAGTAAATTTATACTGGCCCATTTTACAGACCATAAAACAAAGAAAATGAGATGATAATAAGTAATGTGCCAAAGGTCACTAATGTTTAACATAAGCAGGACTTGAACTTCAGAACCCACACCTCTAACTGTAATACTATGTTGCCTTGCCAGCATGACTTTTAATAGCAAAAGATTAGAAATACAGTAACCTGCCTGGACAGTAATAACAGACTTCTAACAAATGAATACAGCCTTAAACAATGAAAATATGTGTGTTAAAAAGAGAGCTCTCTATGTAAATTACCTGCACTTGCATAAGCAGGACGTATCTGCTGTACAAATGGAAGTGATGACACTGGTCACCTCTGGAAAGTGGGTCTGCTGGGAAAACGAGGCTGACCCTTTTGTACTATTTTTAAACCTTGGAACAAACAAATACATCACATTTTCAATGTAAAATTACATTGGGAATCAAGACCACTCCATTAACTAGCAAATTAAGCTGCTTAATCTGTATAGTTCACTTTTCTTAACTATAAAAACCTGGACGGTGGAAATTCAATGGTTTATTACCCGTGGAAAATGTCAATACTAAGATAAGAATGGAACTCTCCCTTTGGGGTGTAGGAGAGGCTAGCGGAGAGGTTCAGGGACAGAAGGTGTTTCCAATCTGCACACTAGAGACTATAGAGCATTCTGTGAGCACGAGTTTTAAAATCAGTTCTAGGTTCAAATTCAGCTCCCTCCTTAGTTGTTTTATAATAGTTGGAATCTCAGCTTTCTCATCTATAAAATGGGGATATTTACCAAACTGGATTATGAGAATTAACTAGAACAGCATACCTAAGACAGCACCACTGTCAATGAAAATAATTTCAAAAAAAAAAAATCACACAACATATACCGACCAGCATGATCATGCCTAACAATTTTGACATGACGTTTAAACAAAATTATGTACTCCTCAAGAATTAGATGTTTCTCTTTTGTACCACACTGCAAAGATACAATTTCTCATAAGTAGGAATTTATCAGGAAAGAAATTCTCAACTCTAAGAATACTTTAAACATACCCCCCCTCTAAGTGGAGAACGTAATTCTAGAATACGTGA